CCAGAAACGCACTTTTGAACGACAGCAATAAAATTAAAAGTGAAGCTATTTGCTCGTTCCAAGGTGTAGATTCCTATGGAGAAGAACGAGCAAGAAACTCCATAGGTTACTCTTTTTCAATCAGGTTCACAATACAATTCTCCAATTACGAATCTTCTCTAATCTGAATAGTTTGTCCTTCATTTCGTTATCATGCCATAATAAGGTCAAATACAAGTTTGACTATTATAATTATTGATAGAATATGTTTTATCAATTACAGTTAGATAGTCTTATTAATCGACTTACGAACAGTTACAAAACCACTTCTAGTAGTTCTAGTACAAAAACTTTGTCTAGTACTATAAAAACAGTATTACCACAAACTGAACACAGTTCCTATCTCGTCTCCCATATATTCAGTATATCTTGCATCAAATCAACCACGGTACTCCCCATTCATCCCTCCCACTTCCACGTCAAAATAAAACAATACCTCCAGAATTAAAGCTCTACACGCAATTCCCTTCCTTGTTTCTAAAGCCATAAATCTCAATATAGCTTTCCACAATATGGAATGTAAATAAGAAACTGTTTACCCTGGCAATGAGGACTGGATTTATGATCTCGGTGACAGATTCGTTTGATTAAAAATAAAGTTGGATTCCAAGTTTTAAGTATATAAACGAGTAATTTGTTTTTATAGTATTTCAAGTTAGGTAAATAATTATGTTTTTGGCTCGAGGACCTCGACTAGATTCAAGCCATGCTAGAAGCTCATATTCATGAACAGCATTTCGCGACCCGTGACGCGGCGCCTGTCGCGCTGCTACTGGCTACTCGAGTCTGCGGGCCCAGCGCGCCCTCTGCCGTGATTCACGCGCACTTTCCTCGTCAAATAATTACCTGAGTAAGCCGAAAACATAATAATTTATTTAGGTAGTATGTCTCACGAAAGTTTCAAGTTAGGGATGAGAATTAAATACCTACGAGGCTAACAGAAGTTACTACTTAGTAAATTTCTATCAGATCGACTATTAAATTTATCTTCATTACGAGCCACATGGCATACATACTAGTCGCCTTCAAGTAAATCATCATCATCAGCCCGTGTTCGTCCATTGCTGGACATAGGCCAATCCAATGGCACGCCACTGAGCTCAATCTTCAGCTCTTCTCATCCAACCACTGCCTTGAAGTGAATGGAAATTAATGTTAATATCAAGAATAAACATGACATTCAACTAATTGTAGTATTATACATTACAAGCTGTTACCCGCTAGATCGTCCGCGTGGAAATGGATTCCTGTTTTATCCCATGGGATTTTATAGGGATTAACAGTATCCTATAGCCCAAGGCACCCCATACCCTGCCTGTTGTCGTGGAGAACCTAACGGGTTTCCGGGACTCCGGCTCGAAGTGCAGTAGAAGGAACCGGGTGGTTTTTAGTCAGTAAGAGTGTGACACTCTTTTCCGCTTCACCCCTTTTTCGGCAAAAGAAGAAATTCGATTACATTCCCCCCTTAAAAAAAAATAACCTGCCTGTATACAAAATTTTATCAAAATCCATTCGTTACTTCCAGCGTGATTGACGGACAAACATCCAAACAAAGAAACTTACACATTATATTATTACTCTGATACTTCATTAAATATAGTAATTCAATAATTAATAAACAATAACACATTCATTGAGTGAAGCCATGTCAGTTTTGATAAATAAGTTTTAATAAATGATAATCTTCAGTGACCTGGAAAAGCTGAACAACACTAGAGGACAACGTAGTCTAGACAAGAGACTGCTTTTCAGTATTTATTTGTGTCACTAGCGAAAATGTACGGATAAATATGTATATGTAATCGACAGTTGAAAGGCAATATAATATGATCGTATTTATTATTGTCCTTAGATGTGATGATGAACAGTGTTATATATGTTATAAGCAACTAAATATAAATAAAAGAGAGAAGGATATCGACACACTCGTTTATTACGTCTTCAATTGTTTTTCAAATTTGCGGACTCCGCCACGCACATAGATAATCTATCACCATAGACTATCTTATGACCATAGATAGAGTATATATATCTGTGGTATACCACAGATACACAACAAACAGTAAAACTATAACCAACGTTTAGTTGCTCTGAAAAGAGAGAATTTGTTTTAATACAATATCTAGTTTTAAAAGTATTTAACATTAACTAGTTAGGTACTTACAGTATTTTTTAGGCACCTAATATTGTTATATATTCTATAATATGATAAATATTTAAAATGTTTTGTTTCGATAAAATACCTATTAATAATATTGTGTTGGTCTGCATTAAAATGATACGTTCCTAAACTAGAATTATTGCAGCTATTAAAAGTTCATCAAGGTCAGTTTTATTAAATGTATTTTCCTGTTTAATATGCAAACATTAATTATTTTATTTAAGCGTTACTAAAATAATTTTAACTATGTGCATAGACAATGTTTATGTTTTGATGTCTTAAGTGATTGAAGTTATAGTAGGATTGGACCCAAAATTGAACCCTGTGGAACACCCCTAAGGAAAGAATTGTATGTCTAAATTATAATATCGAATGACTGAGAGCAATCCATGAATAAGTCAAACAACTTTTTATACATTTATGTAAGTATATTTATCAGCATAATTATAATAGTTTTTTGTTTACGTCATAATTAGTGGTCTGATGTAGCACACACGATATAAATAACACCACGACCGTTATAACCCAATGTGGCGGCTAACTTGGACTTTGGTATGCGTATTTTTACCTGTTATACTATTTATAGTCTATTTCTAATAATGGGTAAACAGCCGAAACTAGAGAATTTTCCTTTATATCTTAAACTGTTCTACTATTGGTTATTTTTTAACGTAGGTTTTTATAACGCAACAAAACAATCAAAAATTAATTTCAATTGTCCCGCGAAGGAATTTTATACGAAATGTGAATATGAGTACAGCATTACGAAGTGTGGTAATTTGGAAAATACTCCAGATTGTCCTGCATTGGCGCCAAGATGCTCTAGTCCTACCTGTCTCTGTGAATACGGTCTTTTGAGAAATTCTGAACTAAAATGGGTGCCCAAAGAAGAACGACGTAAGTTTCAATATAAATGCAAGCAAATAGTTTGCAGCTCGCTCCAAATACTTCTTCCCGATTTACGAGTGAACCAAGTTGTAAATGAAATATAAATTGACATATACACAGGCCCGCTGTAAGCGCGCGTGCAAAGCGTGCACAGTACACGGGCGCACGATCATGGGGGCGGCAAATCGAGCGACTCATTACCTAATATTCAAAATTATTGTCCAGAGTAAGCAGAAAGCATAGAAATATCATCGCCGGGAAAAAATCCCACTCGACGCAAGCAATATTAGCGTTGTGTATTACGTTTGAGGCCCTATACCGGTCAGTAGCGCCTTAAATTCGAAGTCTATCGAGTGTTCTTGAAAGCTATTGAGCGTCCACGATCACATCCTATAGTCACTCAAAAAATATCGAGCTTCCTCGATCGGTTTCGAGCCTCCTCGAAAACTATCGGGCGTCCTCGATAACTTTCGAGCGTCCTCGAAATCTATCCAGCGCCCTCGATCACTTTCGAGCGTCCTCGATCACTTTCGAGCGTCCTCGAAAACTATCGAGCGTCCTCGAAATCTATCCAGCGTCCTCGATCACTTTTGAGCGCCCTCGATCAGTTTCAAGCGGTCTCGAAAACTATCGAGCGTCCTCGAAAACCATCGAGCGTCCTCGATTACTTTCGAGCGTGCTCGAAAACGATTGAACGCCCTCCGTCACTTTCGAGCGTCCTTGAAAACTATCGAGCGTCCTCGAAAACTTTCGAGCGTGCTCGATTACTTTCGAGAGTTACTCAAAATCTATCGAGCGTCCTCGATAACTTTCTGGACTTACTCGAAATCTATCGAGTATTTTCTTTTATTTTCGAGATATCTCTGCCGCAGGAGACGCTTTTGGTGTAGTATCGTGTCGCTTTCTCCGCCACCGTAAGCGCGAGTCTGCGGACGGCAAGCAAGGATCACCTGACACGTAGCAGACCCAAGCGTACGGCGCGTCGTGCAGGCCTCAAAGAGTCATTACTTCATCAGACACCACAAACGGACCCACCAGGATTGTTGCCTTGCTGGAGGGTAGGCTGTCATTATGGGTACTGGGGCCCTGGCTTTGAGCAAGTGTTGGAGAGAATAGGGTGGTTTTTAGTTAGTAAGAGTTGTAGGAGTCACTTCGTCAAGAGTAATTTGAGGACTTTTTACCCAAAGTACAAAAAGGGGGGCGGCATAATCGGTATTTGCACGCGAGCGCTCGAATGCTAACGGCGGGCGTGCATATACATATCTACCAACTTCTTTTAAAATATCTGAGTGCCAAGCACGAATAACTATCGCAATCGGCGCTCTGATTGGCCGGCTCAAGTGAACCAACCAATCAGAACGCTTAACTCGCTCGATACTGTTACGATACGAATGCGATAGTTATTCGTGCTTGGCCCTCAGTAGTCGAGGGTATGAATTAGGTATCGAAAACCCATAAGCTATGCTTACGTCTATGACTAACTAGAATTCAAGTACAGTAATTAGCAATTCCTTTCTATGTCATCATAACATCACGCCTTTTGATCCCCGAAGGGGTAGGCAGAAGTGCACATTTTGGCACTTGTAACAATGCAACACCCAATTTTCACTAGTTATGTTATGAGTCCCATGTAACAGGGGGTGAGCCTATTGCCATATACCGGGCACATTATTTCCAGACTCCGTGCTACTACTAAGATTTTTGAAAACCCAGTAATACTTTCGCACTCGGCCACCGAGGCAGTCCTTTCTATGTGACTGTCAAAAATATAGGTCTAAAACTGGGGAAATTTTTAGACTCATATACAAAGTTACGACTGCATACGTAACTAAAATTAGCCGCCTCTCTAAAGTGTACAATGAAAAATGTTAACGAGATTATAATTACATGAGCTTTTTAATGAAACAAAATGTAATAGTTTATACATATTTATTTATGTAAAAGAAAAAATATATATTTCTCAGCTGTCAGTCAGCAATCATTCGACCATCAATCAGCTTCTAAAACAAAAATTAAACATAAATAGAAGATAACAGGCTCTCCTAAAATCCGCAATCTCCAAACTATAGCGTAGAGATTGTGGCAAACGTTTATTATATTTTTTTTTTATAATGTATGGGACTGACGTAAGCAATGATGTGGTTTACGATAGCACACGTCGACCCATAAGCAACCTATTTACTCGGGCCTTAAGATTCACACTTTGTTGTCTTCCTTGTTACATGCCAAGTGAATGTAAAATATGAAGAAACTGTAATCTTTGTTAACACCTATATATTATGTACTCACGTTTGTAAAAGAAATTGAATTTGTTGATGGTATAAAGTCACTTACATTTTAACTACACTGATCAGTGGGCACACATTTTCCTTCAGAATTTCTCAGGTAACCATCTTTACAGAGGCAAGCTGGCTGAAAGCATCCTGCAGCAATGGATGGACAAGGTGGGAAATGCTTCAGATGATCACACGTCTTGAAGCATACCTCTAAGTCGCATTTGATGTAACGTTCATTTTCGGGACAATCTGAAAAAAGAAAATTACAACGAATCTTGTTATATGTATGTACCTTATAGTGCTGTATACTGCAATGTGAGGTCATCTATCCGTTTAGTGATTCATCATCATTAAATATAAACAAACACTATTAAAAAACAACTCTAGAAGTTTAATAAATACTAATAATTTCGTTTCTCATCTGACATTATGCGACTGTATGCTTAATAAGCCTATCACGTAACGAGACACTGTAGTAGATAGTATGCATTAAGCAAACACTTTACAATATGCAATATATCCAATGCTAATATTTAACAAAAAACCATTTATCAAAAATGTAAGTTATAAGTACAAACACGATTTCAATTTATTTAAAGTGTCAGTATTACAAAACTCACCAAAGGGGGTTTGATCAGCGGGTGCTGCGGCTACAATAGTTAAAGCAGCGATAAATAAACAAACAGGTAATATATAAGAAGCCATAATGTGAGCGACGTTAGACGAAGATATCTAAGACGGTAATGATAGACAAAGATGTCTGCCTCATTATTTATATCATCAAGTTGTTATACTAGTCCACAACAGATCTTACCTTGTCTATACAAGTATTATGCATAATTATTATTACGTTTCTGCTCTTCGTCTAGTTGATCAAGTGGTACAACTGATGTAAGTGTTACTCCTGACTGCCAAGCTAGTGGTGCGATTCCTAGGTCAAGCAAAGCGTTATTGTGGATTTACAGATTTTTAAAAATGCGCTACTCTAGTTCTGTTTGCACCTACATACATGGACAGATATGCGTTATGTCATAAAGAAGGGAAATGAGGATATAACAGCCTATAATTGTCCACTGCTGAGCAAAGCCTCTTCTCACACGGAGAAGGTTTGAGCATTAATCACCACGTTTGCTCAATGCGGGTTGGCGATTACAAACTTATAATTAGAAATTTTAAGCCCAGATTTCCTCACTTTGTTTTCCTTCAACGTCTGTCAGTGGTGTTTAGATAATCTACGAAAGTACATATAACTCGGAAAAAGTCACATTGGTACTTGTTGGGAGGTTTCGAACCCGCGCACCGTCGTGCATGAGAAGCGGGCGTCTTAAACCAATATATTATGATAACGAGGATATAATATCCGTAAATCACAGACGTAAATAGATTACACATAATTTGAAAAAAAAAAATGTCTCAGGATCGAGACCTGAAGCACTCGTGTTTCTATTAAAAATATATATAAAACTCTACCAAAATTAGTTTAATAAAATGTTGGCATTATACTAACAGTTACAGTAAGTACAAGGTAAATGAGTTTGAATTTATGTAATTGATAGGCATGAAAACATATATTAATAATGATGTATACGCCATCGTCAATCATTTGTAGTATATCCTTGTTTAAAGTCGCTCGTACCATGGCGTCCTACATTTTGTCTGTAATTTTGTTCATCGTAGTCTTAACTGTTGTTTCTGTAGCTGCATCTGAAGATGAAACGCCTTTCGGTGAGTTTTTGGAATTACCAATATATTTTTTTATAATATATCTATGTATGTACTTGATCACTTCTAAGGTGGTAGTTATCTATGCAGGGAGTTATCAAACCAGAGCTCAGGGAGCTGGTCTAAAACCCTTGACGACAGATGTCTCTATAGACATTTTGTCGATCCAACCAATAAAAAGAAAAAACTTAAAAATAATATTTATTGTGCCTAGATGATACAGCATGTATTTTACTTCCAACTTTGAATGTACGTAATTATTAATTATTTCATACCATATTTTTCGCGTATCAAAATTAATATTATTTCTATTCAACATGAAGTTAGTTATAAATATGAATGGATAATTGTAATAAAAGCCTATAAAATAAGATTTTATTTTACAGATTGTCCTGCAAATGAACGTTATGTCAAATGCCAATTGGCAGTGTGTATAAAAACTTGCGAGCACTTAAGGAATATGCCACCTTGCCCATCTATTGCTGCGGGATGCTATAAGCCTGCTTGTGTCTGTAACCACGGCTTCCTAAGAAATTTAAACGGAGTCTGCGTGCGTATAGTTGACTGTGGTTTTGAGGTAAGTTATATTTTTCATATAGTTTGTTCGCGTTAAGAGTGCAGTGAGTCATCAGTGCAACTGTAAGATAAAGGTGTATTCACAGTGGTGTGAAATTCAAACAAATTATATTTTCTAATATTAACTTAAAGTTTAAAATCAGTTTAGGCGCGGGTCTCGGCCCACAGACCATGATGACTTCTGTATTTTTAACGCAAATATACCATAGTTGACACACTAGAAAAAACTAAAGTTAATTTTACTGACATCCTCTGTAAAACTTTCGTCTCTTAAAAATTATTCAAAATATGAACTTTGATAGTTTAGTGTAGTTTTTTTCAGTTATTAAACAATTTCTTTAGTTTTATTTTCGTGATTCTGTCCCTGAACTAAGTATATTTTTTATTTTATTAAGTTATTGTTAATAAAACAAAAAATGTAACAAAATAACTTAACATTTAAGTCACAAGGTCGTTGTGCCACATACAAAATATGTGCGTAAATTTGAAACAAATGAAATTAATTGTTTAGTGTTATTTTTAGTCCCTAATAAAGATTTTTATTTATTCATTTATTGTACCATATTCAGCTATAAAGCAAATCACAAAATTTTCTACATTCATATAAATTGAAGAATATAATAATATAGAACTACTGTGACTTAAAGGTACATATCATAAATAGTGAAAAGTACGTGTTACGCAGTGGCATAATGTGCACCTCTGCTTACCCCTACCGGGATCAAAGGGATGATGTTATGTTATGTTTTCTCATGGTTATCATTTTTACCATCTGCTAGAAAACTGCATTTATTTTCATTTATTTATGTTTTTGTTTACTTTTGTTTCAGGTACCAGACCATATGAAAGATTATTAAGTGCTGTAATTTATTATTTTTTTAATAAATAATGTTATGCTACGTAATAGATTTTTCTTGTACCCATATTAATATGAGACGTTAACATGAGTAAAATAAAGCTTCATTGGTCTTGAGATCGAAAGTGTAATTGCTGAGCAATTGCATGGTCTATCAAGAGTCAAAACCATTAGACTAACTATGAAGTTCATTGATATGAGATTAAAAAGAGTTAACATAACCTAACCAAATAAGGTGCCCTAAATGGAGTGACCTAACCTAACCTAGCTAAATGTGGTGTTGAGGTGCCCTAAGTTATGAATCTGCCTTTAAAGGTCGAATACCACTATGTGGTAATTATTATAGATGTCCTTTTGACATTTCAAACTTTCAGTAATTTTAATAATAGGTGCAAAAATCATTAGGTATTACGAACGTAGGTTATCTTGTGGTTCAGTATTTTGATTTTCGGTATTTTAATACGTGTACCTTGTTAATGTTAATACAAAACAATTAAAAGTTTCAAATTATAAAAATGTACGCACCAACAGGTTCTTCAGGCAGGTCTAGCAGCAGAAATAGAGATAGAATCGCAACAAATAAACAAATGAATATTATGTTGGAAGCTATTTTGCAAGTGAGGCTAGCTATTTTGTAATAATGATAGACGAAAGTATCAGCTAAAATATACAAAATAACAAATATCGGCCAGTGCCTAGGCCTAGACAGGTTTTTGTTATAATATAAACGGAAAATAAGCCTTGTCTATGTATAAATAAATTACAAATATTTTGAAAATCGGAGTGGCCCCAGAATGAGCCCCTGGAGCATTCCTACTTTTTGAATTGCAAAAGTTTGTCAGTTTGTTTTTTCGTGTGAATGTTAATCACTCAATTACATAAAAATGGTTATAGGAATCGGGGTAAAAGAACACGAGTAAATTATTATAATTATTAGGCTATTTTTATCTTACGGAAACACGGGCAAAGCCGCTGACAGTAGCTAGTACTCTGTAAAGCAACACAATAATGTTAAGTTTAATAAAAATGCATTTATAACAGTTACAGTACGAGGTAAAATTTGAGTTTATTCCATTAATAGCCATAAAAAAATAAATAATGAAGTTAATGCCGTCATCAATAATTGTGCGAGCAGTATGCAATGTGCATATCCTCGTTTAAAGTCGCCTTTGTCATGCCGTCCTGCGTATTAACTGGATTTTTGTTCATTGCCACATTAACTACTGTTTCTGTGGCTTCATCTGAAGATCAAATGCCTTTTGGTGAGTTTTTGTAATCATTAGTATTCCAGTTTCATGTAATTTTTGGTTCTTTTTTCTATTTCAATTGATATTTCACCTAGTTGAGTGAAAATTTCATAAAACTTAGAATAACAATATCCAAATTTTTAGTGAATCTCTTACTCTGAGATTATTGTAGATGATAATTTGGAACTGCCTCGTTGGCCGAGTGATCGCAGGTGCGACTGCCGGGCAAGGGGTCTCGGGTTCGATTCCCGAGTCGGGCAAAGTATTACTGGGTTTTAAAAAAAATCTCAGTAGTAGCACGGAGTCTGGAATTGTGCCCGGTATATGGCAATAGGCTCACCCCCTATTACATGGGACTCATAACATAAGTTGTGAAAAGCGGGTGTTACTTCTGTGTGCACCTCTGCCTACCCCTTCGGGGATAACAGGCGTGATGTTATGTTATGTGATAATTTGGAACCTGCTGGTTTGTTCATACCAAAACTAATATTCATAATTTGATCAAATGAAACAATATTTTGCAAATAGGCTGCAAAGCAGTACTTTTACACTTCAATACTAAAATTAAATTAGATAAAGTCGACATTCATTACCTACTTATTCTGATATGAAGAAGAATCTTAAGACGAAGGTTTTATTAATGTATCAAAGTCTTATGAGCTTAAGAAAATAATTTCTTTTATAGATTGCCCTGCAAATGAGCATTACATCAAATGCCGATTGGAGGTGTGTATCAAGACATGTAGTCACCTAAGGAAAGCACCACCTTGTCCTTCCATTGCTCCAGGATGCTATCAACCTGCTTGTGTCTGTGACACCGGCTACTTAAGAAATGCCAATGGAATCTGTGTGCACAAGGATGAGTGTGGCTTTGATGTAAGAAATTACTAATAGTAATGATGATTTAGTTTCATAATTTTCATATTTATAGTTATTTGTTAATTTTATTTTATTCTGTTTTTATTTTAGACTGCTTCGTTGGCCGAGTGGTCGCAAGTGCGACTGCCGGACAAGGGTTCTTGGGTTCGATTCCCAGGTCGGGCAAAGTATTACTGGGTTTTGAAAAATATCTCAATAGTAGCACAGAGTCTGGAATTGTGCCCGGTATAAGGCAATAGGCTCACCCCCTAGTACATGGGACTCATAACATAAATAGTGAAAAGTGGGTTTTTAGTGGGGAATTATACGAAAGCCAAATGTTTTGAATTGACCTCGACATCAATCATAAAGATAAAAATAATTTGTAATGTGAAGCTAATTCTTAGTCAATTCGTCTATCGATATTCTAGGTGAATATTCTAGGTGGGTCACTTTTACATGGCTTGCTTTTCCTGTACTAATTGAAATTATTTTTTCTTCGTGGTAACCATACTATCGTTATAGCTTCTACATTGTTAATTAATTTGGGGTTTATTTTTGTTTCCAGATACCGGATTATATCACAGAGTCTAAATTGATGTAACAATTTTTTTTAAATACATTTTATCCAAATGTTTTACTGATTTCAGTAAAATAGTATTCTATTATTCGTTTGTCGTGTGACTGTAAGTGAAATTGCCCATGGAGCAACTGCATAGTTGGTTAAGACTCATACGCATTATTTTAGTTGAATAATAATTTTATTTCTTCAAAGATCTACTTTCTCGACATTCATCAGGCAAATTGTTCATAAAACACTTTAATTATTCCCCATGTCATAAGGGACAAAACGTATTACACAACCTATTAAAGGAAATCGTCGAGGATGCAAATTAAAACCTTTGTACGTATTTCTATTTTTTATTTCATTTGGACTTATACTAAGTCCATAAAGTACGTAATTTATCTTCAGTTGTAAATATTCGATTTCTGAAACAAAATAATATAACACAATTAGAAACATTATAAAGTTTTATCTGACGGCGTTGCAAGTTTGAAAAAAATGTTATTTTTATAGATATTCTAGTTTAACACAAAATAAAAATGTTAAAAGTTTTTAGAGGTAAGTCCATTGATGTGATATTGCTTGTATTTCTTTGTAATTAATGTAAATAATAATAATTTAGGACTAATAAATATTCACTTACAGCATTGTTCTGCAGGCACGCACTTTCCTTCAGAATTCCTTAGGTTACCATTAGCACATAGGCAGGCTGGGCTGTAGCAACTAGGGTGAATGGATGGGCAAGGAGGAGGAGATTTTAGCTCTTCACACGTCTTAAGACATACTTCCAGATCACACTTTAGGTAGTATTCATCCGTTTTGCAATCTGTCAATAAAACATAACAGAAGTTTTATTAAAATATAATATAGTTAGATAGATTCAAATAAGTTTCCACTTAGGCATATCATAAATATATATACACAGGTCAACCTGTACCTGAATATCAAGCAGGCCGCAATCGAAACTAAGATAGGGCGATAAAATTAGGTTAGCTCAAGTGCTATTTCGTAAAACATATCAGTGATTTAGATTTTATCAGATGTTTTCTTAAAACAGTAAATTGAGAGTTTTCAATTCTAAAATCTTACATACCAAAAGGTTTCTCATCAGGTGGGGCAGCAGAAATAATAGTAAGAACAACAACGAACAAACAAATAGGTAATATGTAGGAAGCCATTTTGCGAGCGAGGCTAGATGATGATGATGTCAATAGCAATAATGATAGATGAAGGCATCAGCTACAATATTTATAACAAATATGTATGTACAAACCGATGGACTAGTTAATGAAGTAAATAGTTAAAAAAATACTATGAAATAAAAACAAAAGACGTCAGAAGATTTTTTACAAAGGAGCTTAGTTACATGAGTAACCACGACTCTTGACGTACGCTTGCTGTAATGGGCCTGTACGTGGTTGATAGTTGCTTAATGAATAAAACTTGTGAGCCATGTTTCGGTATGAATGGGCTCGACCGGAGTGATACCACGGCCTCACAGAAAATCGACGTGAAGCAACGCTGGCGTTGTGTTTCATTATGTGAGTGAAGTTACGGGACTTACGGGACGCCCAATAACCCCCCTCCCCCATTCCCATTCTCTCCAACCCTTGAATCCTCAACATTCCTCATTTCTAATCCCCAAAAGGCCGGGTAAAGCGCTTGTAACACCTCTGGTGTTCCTGATGTCCATGGGCGACGCCGACTGCTTACCAGCAGGTGATCTTTCTGCTCATTTAACGACTTATTGCATAAAAAAGTCTATTTAATCAAGATTTTACAAATAATTTTAGAATTACTGATGTTGGTTGAAGGTTGTGATTGCAATTGATATCTTGCAGTAGTTACAGGTAATAGAGACTCACATTTTAATATTAAATGGCGTGAATACCTTCATCGTTACAAAATATTGGGTAAAATAAATGGGAGCAAAACAAGAACTTAATACACAAACTCACAATGTAACGAAGATTTAAAACCATAACAATAATACATTTACGGGTTCAGGGATAAATTCTTGTTATAACCTAAATAATAATGCTTGGGACTACCACTGGCATGCTATTATCCACTGCAAAATAAAATGATAATATTAATAACTACCAGTAGTACCATAATACGTAAGAACAACTAGTCCATGCATATCAAATTTATTCCATGCTGCTTTTAAAGACAGTGAGTCCCCGCTAGCGGAACTAAGCAACACGGATCTTAAAAAAGGATCTATAAAAAATCTTCAATAGGTTGGCAAGAGCTCTAATGTATACAACGCACGTAGACGTTATTAGACAACAAATAAACCCGTCAAACTTCTTATCGATATAAATAAAGAAACTGACGTCTTTGCTTTATCATTAGGTAGGTAGATATCTTCATCTAACGTTGTGTACGACATGGCGTCTTCTATGTTATCTATTTGTTTGTTGGTAGCAGTACTAACTGTGGTGTCATCTGCTCCAGCTGATGAGAAACCTTTGGGTGAGTTTTTTTTAATAACATCATTATCATCATCATTGTCGTACTGTGAAAATACTTTCTCACACGGAGAATGATTTTTTTAATGTTGGCAACATTAAAAAAAATCATTCTCGTTATTGGTATTTTAGAATGCGTTTGTGTATCTTTGATCTTAAGAACTAGATGTCGTACTGGAATCGATGTAATTAGTAGAATATTGCACTATTTTTTGTGCATAGATTTTCTGATATTTAATAGCTGTAGGTATCTTCTTTACAGTTTTTAACTCCTGCTATATTTATGCTTTAAATGGCTTACAAAATAATTAAAATATAATTTGCTATAATTCGTTGTTTTACGTGAAAAATACAAATCAGTCATTTTCCGGTTTCTTATTATGTTTGTTAAAATGAAAGAAAAATTATAATACATTGTTCATTTCAGATTGTCCCGAAGGTGAATACTACATTAAGTGTAGTCAGGCGGAGTGTTTCCAAAAGTGTGATCATTTGGTAAATTTACCGGCTTGTCCATCTCTTCTTCCAAGCTGCTATAGCCCTGCGTGTTTGTGTGATAATGGAAACCTGAGGAACTCTGAAGGGAAATGTGTGCCGAAAGAACAATGTGGTAAGTAGCTAAACTTATTTTGAAAAAATAAAGTTGGTTACACTGACTCTGTCAATATGGGATTTTGGGATTTTATTTACTGAGATTACTCAGTTAGATGATTTTTAAACTTTGTTTTATATAGGCCTAACTTAAGTCAAGTGGAGGAAACCTTAAAGTTAAGATCTGAGAAAATACCGGGCCTTACTTGTACGTAGAAATAATTCTGGCAAGGCAATAAACTGGCTCATGATGAAACTTATAAGCAAAAGTGGGTGTATAACACCCAAATTTTTATAATTCATTCTTGTTGAGAAAAAATAACTCTCCCGCCTGGGTGAGGCGGGAGGGACTGTCAGACTCTTTCTGACTAAAAACCAACCCAATCGTACTCCTGCATTTCGAGCCGGAGCCCCGGTAACCTTTTAACCGTCTGCAGCTGACGTGTAGTCCCACAGACACCGCGAAATACAAAATCACGTGTTATACCGTCATTTTTCAAATACGAGCATCACTGCTGCGAGTACCTTACTGTATAGTGCTCGCTATACTTTAATTCTACAAAAATATTTGCTGTTGAAATGGTGTCTGGTATAATATACACCTCAGTTGAATTGTAACAATTTAACCACGTCAGTTGCAGAGGGTTAAGTTCTCCGCCGCGGCTCAGCCGTCAAGGGCTTATGATATGATATCAGTTAACCAATTTTTCCATAGGAATTATTTACTAATAATTTTGTATTTTTGTTTCAGACCGAGCAAATTCCAATTGAAGAAATACTACATAAATTAATAACCATTATTGGTGTTCCACGTGTTTCTTTGTTATATACTTCCTTGTTAGTTGATAAGGCCAATTATTAGAACTATTAAATGTATAATATTTTATCAATAAGTATTGTTAATTGAAAACAGGAAAACCTATGTACAAGGCTAAAACTTCAAAATAAATAATTAATTTGGTTTCTGTAAGTAACAGGAGATTATTAGTCGTATACAAAAGTTTTGTTTCTATATACCAGTACCTATGTTTTTCAAGTCTTCTACTACCACTGATAATAGAATAATACATACATAGTTCATGCAATTTAGTTGGTGTATGCTTTAAAACTAAGGAAACTTCAATAACACAAAACTACAGTTATACAATTTGTGACCTCTACTAATTAAACGTAGTTGTTTCCTCCATGGACCTCATAAATAATAAAATATAATGCAGCCTTCACAAACACATTGCTGTGTACAACAGAATAATGAGAATTCTGACCTGCAACTACGACTATGTTCCTAGTTCCAAACTATCTAAATGTATCGCAACCCTAATGAAAAAGCGAATTTCTAACGTTCAGAAAATGTTCATCATTGCAATTTTATAAATTAATGTATGATTTGGTCATGCTATAAGGGTTTTCATATATTTTTTTCAATTATGGAATCTCTATTATTCTACGGAGTTATAAACTACTATGAAGTTGAACTATGTGACCAAATAAATAGAACTATCTGACAATCAAAAGACCAGGAACTTATGTATTTTATTGACTTTCAAAACTCACTATTGTTTGTCAATGTCAACTAAATAGTAATAACGTTATAACAATTGATTTAATAAGGGATTATAATAAACTAGTGTGTTTATAATAACTATCGTGAGATACTAAATTAGGAACTAAAACGAGGAAGAACCCCTCTGTGGTTCAAAACTAGTAGAGCTTTTCTCAGTATTTTCATGCGAGTATAGAAACCCGTGATTTTTAATCAACTAGTGGTTTATAGACCAAGATGGTAAACCCTTTATGGAATAATTGTCTTGATATAACAGTTAAAGCAACTTATTCATGTACATATATAGCGCTTGTGTACAACAGTACAAGAAGAAATCGTTAGCACGTTTAGCGCGGTGGTCGGCCAACTCGTTCTGCGAGACCCAGTTACCGTCAACAACTCTTTGTGTGATCCTCAGATTGTTGTTCCGGGTCTGGGTGTCATGTGTATGTGAACTTTTATGTTTGTTAACACACCCACGACATAGGAGAAAATCCTAATGTGAAGCAAGGTGTCGCGGAGAACCTAACGGGTTACCGGGGCTCCGGCTCGACGTGCAGGAGAAGGAACGGGATGGTTTTCAGTCAGTAAGAGTATGACACTCCATCTCGCCTCACTCAGGCGAGGAGGAGCCATTCGATGATTTTCTTCCCTTAAAAAAAAGTGTGGAGCAAGGTAAAAAGAATTACATTCAGTACATAGTAACTCCGACCTAGCGCATTGCAACCGAAATGAAAGTTAATTACGAAACTCTAGCCTCAAACAATACCTATTTTCAAAAGAGAATGTGTTTTTATACAGCAAATAACATAGTTACAGAGTATTCATTATCCTTTGTAAATAAAGTAATTATATATTGTTATACTGGTAGGGGCAAAGTAAAAACTAGGCTATTATCTGCACTGTGCCATGCATTGCGCCTGACAGCTCCTAATTCCGCACACGACGAGTTATGGTTTTGTGTAAATAATTTCTTTTGTAAAACTTTGTTTTGGGCCGAAAAATATTTAGTTTTTTTCCGATAAGGAAATAATATTACCGCAATATCCTTTACCAACTATTATTTAAAATGGCAACTACCACTACACCTGTCGCCACCATATCAGTACTATTTCTATGATATCAACTCAGTTCTAGTTTAAATAGGTACTTATTTCGATAACCTGATTTTTATCTTATCTGCACTTACGTTTGAGATCACACAATCAACAAGATTGGTCAATGACTCACAAGCGCATCATTAAGGCCATTGCAGTTTAATATAAAAATCATATCTATTCTTACTTACAAATCGCACAATTTGCGCACACAACAATACAAGAACTGGCCACAATAACAATAAAAAAGAAATATACAAACTTTTTGTCGACCATCGACCGTCACAGCATTAACAGTATTTCAGTGAAAAATTTTCAACAGAAACACGAAATTTTTGTGTACATTCGTGAGTGGGCCGTTTAAATATTTCGCGGTATTCATAAACAGTTGTATAATGGCGGAGATATTTTAAATTGCTTCATGAATAGAAAAAGGAAGTTTGGAATTACCTTTATTTTGTTTTAGAGAACCGTTCTGCTTTCTTCGTGATGTTTGTAGGTGTAATATGAAAAGCTGTTTGCTTGTACAATGTTTCCGTTTAATGCATTTCTAGAGGATAACGCTGCAGTTTCATGGAAGTAAAAATTTCTAGTTAAAGTTTTTTGTTATGTAAGTAAAACTGTTTAGTGTTAAATATCTACCAGATTAACTCTAGCGTAACTGAAATAACCGTATTAAATATCTATATTTATCTCTTTGTACAGATTTAATTTATTAATCATTCAACCAAAATATATCAAAGCTTCCCCCAACATAAAAGGATTAAGTTGTTCATTGTAAATTATTTGCTAAAACATGTATATGACCGTAACAGGGTTGAAGCCATTATGGTACTAAAATGACAGCTGTCAAACGCTCCATTTCGCGCCCAAAGCTGACGGCAGTGGAACGTCGCCGTTCAGCCTATTTAAATTGTTCACGCTCGGATATCCGTACAGAATATGTACTCTGCAAGTTTCTATTGTTGAGCTCCAATGGAGCTACGTAATTTGCATAAGCAAAGTTTAAATTTAAGGAACAATGCCGTGCATTATTCGGCTGTAAAGTGCTAGTACAAGTTATGCGTTTAATGCTTTATTGCACGTAATTCGTGCTTTGTTTTATTTTTGGTATTCCAATAACATTTGAACTATGTATAATTATTGAAGTAGTACTTTCAAATTGTGTGGAAGCACGCGATTACTTGTATAAATATTTGATCGAGTTATTTGGTAAATTAATTTGAAATTGTTGTGCGTTGATTTCATCGGGCCGTGGTTATTAGCATTCATTATTCACAGTAGTTACTTATTCTACATTTTATGACCACAATAATAATTATTGTACGTAGTATTTTTTTTTAATTTTACTCTGAATTAAAATCAGATGGGATTAATCCTTGTTTTAAATAAAAGTCTATCACACGAAAATAGTATTGAGATTCGATCCTCTTTAAATGAAAGCTCATGACTAAATTAAATACCTGCCTATAAAACTAAACTCACTGAAGTCACTATCAGAAAACTATTTCATTAATTATACCTTCATGTCAACGCGCATCGTCTGTTTGTTCAGGAAAATGAGAACCACCGCATTCTTGTCGGGACGCTCAGCGATATGCATTTGTTTGTGTCAACAGCAGCTCAGCGCGACGCGACGATGGGATTTATAGTCGAGCGAACGGTGAATTAGTTTCTTATAAAAATAGTTGACTTTGTCTTTTGTTTGTAGGGAGGAGTTTGTCGTCGGAGATAGGTTTTATGTTAGTTTTTAGTTTTATGTTTTGGAGTCTTAAAATCAGAACTTGGTTTATCAAAAATTTTAGTTCCCTCAGTATAATGTTTTGTATCAAACATCGAAATGTTACATAACTTAACAAAAAGGTAATGACCTTTTGTCCGCGAAGGGGTAGGCATTGGTGCACATTACAGTACTTAATGACACTGTAAAACACACTTTTAACTATTATGTTATAAGTCCCATGTAATAAGGGGTGAGCCTATTGCCATATACCGGGCATAATTCCAGACTTCGTGCTACTACCGGTACTAAAATGCTATCTGAAATTAAAAAGTACAACCCAACATTTAAAACATCTTCATCAATATTATTTACTAAAATATGTGTAGGCGAAGGTAGGTTGGGCAAAGTATGGCTGGGTTAAAAAAAAAAGAGTTGTAGCACGGAGTCTGGAAGGTTAAAAGTGAAAAGTGGGTGTTATTTTTGTGTACACCTCTGCCTACCCCTACGATGATTAAAGGCGTGATGTTATGTAACATTATATTTTATGTAGAAATAGCAATGCTCGTAGTTTAATGCTACCTAAACATACCTACGAATTTATATCAAAGACAAAATCAGTCCAAAAAAGAAAGTCCATCAAAACCACAAACACAAAAGCCTTCACAATATTTGACTGAAGCAAATAAATGTAGAAATAAGAGAAGAAACTTAATAACCGAATGTAAGTGCACTTGTTTGAAGTACTTTAGACATTTGCAGTTCAAGTTTGTTCAAGTTAAGTGCCAAGCCATATGCGAGACAAGTTACTACTTAATCCACTTCATATATTATGTTTCAAATGTATGTATCTCAGTTTAGTAACTTAGATATTATATGTAGGACTAATATTTTGGGTTAGACGAAGGTCGTCATCTACACAGATAAATAAAATTGGAGTGTCTGTTTGTATTATTGAATTAATCGCTTTTTACTACATGCATATTATGAATAAACATACGATACCTATACTATATAAAAAAAAAACAATTTTCGTCCGCTGTCTGTCTGTCTTTCTATCTGTTTGTTCTGGCTTATCTCTGAAATAGCTGGACCGATTTTGATAGGACTTTTATTGGTAGGTAGCTGATGTACTTAGAAGTAACATAGGCTATTTTCATTTTGGAAAATTGAAAATTTTAATTGGGATTGCATAAAATGTCTGATAAATTTGAAGTTTTTAAACTGCAATTATCACCACCTTGAGAACCTCTAGGTGGTGATGGATTGAAAACATCTTATCTAGAATAAGTCCTTGATGATGACAATATTTCTCCTAGCCATGTATTCTTGGAGGTTACTGTACCTAATAGGCACTACTATACTTTTTTGCAATGGCATAGATTGATAATTCCATATGAGTCCAGACGCGTGTACGATGTCTAAACTTTTAGTAATAAACTCAATATATATAGAAAGGGTAATGTTCTCAACCGCAAAATTGAAAAACTATCCAAGTCAGCTGTGACCTAAATATACTAGACGGCCTACTTAAATACAATACAAAAAACTGACCCTTCCTAGCCTAGATAACAAAAACAGATTTTGTTCACCCAAATTCTTACTAAAGGAAAA